CTCTTCAGTGCGCCAGTGGAAGATCCTGGCGACGTGGAGCCGGGGACTCAAAAACCGTGGTTTTCTGTTTGGTTTCCTTTCTAAACCAAGGCAAATGCCGAAGCCACAAAACACCTATAGCGAAGTGATGACGGTTCTGTGGAGAAACTCCACGCCAGGAACTAGCTGCTGTGATAGGTTCGCCCATCCGAGCTGGTGCGAAGGGGATTTCGTCCATTCACAGGGCGGGGTCCAAAAACAGGGGGACTTTTTGGATGCAACAACAACAGGAAACGGTTGGGTCTCCGGTGTTGCGTAACGCCAAGATCAGCCGAATCAGCCGACCGTTGCCAACCAAAAACCCTTCTAATCATGAACATCTGGCCCCATATCACATGTTTGTAGGAACTTCTTCCCTGTTGGGGATTGCTTTGCAGAAATCAAGGGTTAACATCTTGTGAATGCATCAGGCTGCAGGACATGGGTAAAAAACAATGTGTGGACTTTCCCTCGAAGCTGTCCAACGTCCTTTGACGAAAGTCCCCGACATGGCTATCAACGTATTCAAGTGTCAATTTACCCGGCGCCGAAAACATCCTGCCAAACGGGCACAGACTGGGCTGGACAGCATCGTCTTCTGTCGTTGTCTCCCGTGTCATGCTTGCACGTGCAGACTGCATCCAGTGCTAGCTTCCGCAGTACAGGGGAAACGGGTGCGCTACCAGTCGATAAACCTTTCAATTCGACAGGAATCTGTTATAATCGATGTGATCGTTATGAATCCGGCATGATCTGCATCCACGATGGAACCGTCTACAAGATGAAGCTCACACGTCAAAATGACAAACACCCATGGGCAAAAAAGTAACTAGCTGTTGTGCAACTAATGTCCTGAATGTCTGAAGTTTGGATGGCAAGGAACCTTGTACAAAACAAAACGACCCTGACTTGACAGGTGGGCATGAGCATGTCTTCTCTCAAAGCCACACCCAAGTGGCTCAAGCCAAGCAACTGCCTATTTTCGGTCAAACCCGGATATTTCCACTGAAAAACAATGAAAAGTCAAAGGTTAATCAGCGCATGGTCCTCGAAGCCCAGCAGCCTCGTTGCATGGATTAAACTAGTCATTAGCCATTACTTACCAACTAAGACGACCAACTGTGATGTTGAAATACCCCACCCTGTTGGAATCACTTGAGCCTCTACTCCAAAATCGTTCAGCGCCTGGCTTGCTCGGACAACTGCTGCTGCGTGAAGGTGCAATCCAAAGGCAGCTGGGCCAAAGCTTCCCTGGCGATCGCCGCTCGCGGAGCGCTTGGAACTTCTCATTCGACGCAACACGTTTTGAACGGTTTAGACATGCTGAAGTAGGCACACCGCTTGGACAGGACATGTTGGGGTATACACCAATGTTTCTACGTACTGCAGAAAACACAGGCTTAGCTAGATCTCAAACATACCGGTTGGTTGGAAGGGGTGCTAGTGAGAGAATATGTTCGTTGAATGAATATTGAAAACGCCATGCATCTTTGTGTTAAACGCCTCGTTGTGCTAAATCCAGCCTACCGACTTATACAGTTTATGAACGGAAGTTTCGTCAACGATAGTTCAGAAGGAAGCTTCCGTAGTATGGCTAGTTGAAAGGTAGCATTCGCAGATAGATAGCTGTGAAGATCAGATAGCGCGTGCAAAAAAGATAGCACTTGCGAAAAAATAGAAGAAGAGATGGTCTGCGCGAAAAGATCGCATATGCAGATAGCTTGTGCACAAACAGAATGAAGAAAGGGTGAATGCGTGCGAGAAAACATGTGTGGGCGTGTGGCGGGGGAGTAGAAATCGCGGAAAAGAGCGACTCTCTGCGGGCTTTGGCCTGGCCGCAAGAGCATTCAACCCCCACCCCCCCGCCCCCAATCCGATTGCCCGCCTGCGATTGGAGCAGGCCCACGCCCCAGCGGCTGAGTGTACTTTTATTATCGAGATACTTGTCAATACAAACAAGCACATCGGACATTCAATTCAATGTCTGTCAATTAATTCCAGGAGGGCGTGTATCCAATCGTATCATCGAACGAAAAGAGCTATCTCAACCTTTCTCCACTCCGTGGCCCAGCTTGCGGGGAAAAACCAGGATCAACCGCTGAACTCAGCTTCTGACCAAACAACTTGCGTTTCTCCATGTTCCCTGCAATCTTAGCTGAAGCTGCCTCTGATCGGCAAATTATTCACTTGGGTGAAAGGTATCAGCGGTTGACTCATTCAGCCGCTTCTCATTCTCCTGACTTTGAACTAAACAAAGTGCTTTGCCCCTGCTTCCATCGAAGAAGAGCCGTGGTTTGGCCCCCGAGTCACGAGAGAACTCGTTTCTGGAGTGGCTTGGCGCCTCTATATATATGTATATATATACATATAGTGTGTATGTATATATATATATGTATATATGAATATATATACATATATATATATATATATATTCTCGTTCTTCTGGTGTAAATGCATGGGCCACACAATCATTGTACCGAATACCTGGCTTGTCTGGAGATGGGATCAGGCACAAAATAAGGGACAAACGTGTCATGTATATGAACTGGAATAGCCGGACAGTCAACAGGCAATGCATCTACCAATGGTTTGCGCACATTGTGCAACCACAATTCTGTCAAATGACTCTCATGCAAAGCATCTATGTACATGAAATCCCAAAGGCGAGGCTGGTATGTGGACTGGACGTTTCCCAATACAAACATCCATCGGGCAGTGAGCTTTTGCAGCCACTGTGATCGGTTCAGAACAAAGGGAGCTTTGTGCTCCATATCGAATGAGAACAAATGGCCAATCGCGACCACAGCGGAGTCAACTGCGGAGCAAGCTTGGTAACTTCTTCCCCTCTTCCCAGCAGCAGGAGCAGCAGCACCGCCACGACCGCCACCACCACCCAGCAGCACTAGCTGTAGAACCAGCACCAGCAGCACCACAAGCGTCGTTGCCAGTCTCGAAGGGTGTGGTTTGAGAAAGCTGCGAAAACATCATTAGCGGAAGGGCCACAGAAGGGCACAGCCTGGCGCGGACGGCTCGCCAATCGCCGACCAATCGCCGCACAATCGCGGGCCTCGCCGACTTTCCGGGTTCAACCGGCATGGCCCGGTTGATCGGCTGAGCCATGCCTACGGGAGACTGAGACAAGGTGCCCCTGGAGCCTACCGCCTACCGTCCGCTGCAGATAAGTCAACGTGCTGCGCATCTCCCTCTCTACAAGGGAGCGGGGTCTGCAAATGAAATATGTCAAAAAGTGTTAACATGCCAAGAGGATGCTAACCCTCACAAGCAACCATTGATGTAACAACAGGTTATGCACTTCCACAAAGGGGTCACCCAAACATGCAGATGTTACACCAATCGCGGCCCAATCCCCGGCCTTTCGCGATGCAGGTTTTACCAATCGCGAAGAAGTCACAAGATACCCGAATACATATATTTAAGACACGCATTTGCGGACGGCTCTCAAATGTCCATGGAGTCCATGGTCATTGTCAAGCAATCCAAGCATAATTGCCATGCTGCTCGAAGCGCATGCGGGACCAAGTTCGAAACTTTGGTGGGTCGGTTCTCTCTGTCTGTCAAGTACGACATTTCTGTTTCCAGAATGCACATTGGGGCGTGGCAGGCTATGTCTGATTTGTCAATGCTCTGACAATCAGCCATGTACTCGTGTAACCGCATCTCGGATTGGGCTGAGTGGGACCCAAGTCGGGGCCTCTCGTTCTGATTTGCCGCCGCATGCAGCAACCTCTGACGGCGGTCGCGGCCAGCGATGCACCTGGGCGCCCCCCAGGATGATGTGATTCTTCAGCGAAAGGGGAACCACGCCTGAATAGTATGCAAATGGGTTCTCGAAACAGGGGCCCTGTTGTAACACGGTTTTAAGCGGAACCCAACGCAAACCACCTGAAAGGTCCCTTTGAGAAACACACGACTCCAAAGGGATTCCAGGTGTCCCCTCCAGGTTGGTGTCTTTCGGATTAAGCCATTCGACAAATCCCAAATCAACCTGTGAGATGCTGACAACACACACACACATGCGAGTTACTCACAGCAGAACAAGCTTCCAACACACTCAAACCAAGTCATCCAGAGCTGTTGCATTTCTCGCTTCCCATACACATGCTGTTGCTTGCGGACGCCCCATTCATCCTTTTCCAAGCGCTCTTCCATGTTTCTGAAATCTCACCGATGCTTGCTTCTCAGCCTTTTAGATGGTTTCTACTCACCCAAGCCAACCCGCGTAGAAAAAATGGCATGCAGTGGTAGTGGTGCCCGCTTAGAATGTCAATTCTCCGCTTCTAGCCAGTCCATACGTGCCTCTATGGCTATTCTCTGGCACGTTCGGTATCCGTGGAGCCATAGTCTACACCTAGTCATGTTATGCAGCCTCAGGGAAGTCAGGAATACTTCTCTGCTTGATTGTCAGGTGTCCCATTTGAGCGGAAAGAAACCCAAAATGACCGGATTGTGAAGTTTGATCCGGGGACTTGTCAGTTTGCGCGTGATCATTGAGGGAACTCGTTGATTCGACCATGCGCAGCACGCGTAAATATGTTTTGACCGAGGGCAACGAAACCGGGTCACCCACCAGGAAGCAGCGAATCCGAAAAAAAAAAAAAAAAACACTGCAAACAAAACTGCATCCTTCTAGGACAAATAGTCGGCACTGGTAAGTGATTGGAACCAAACTGAAACAAGTGGAACTCATGAGTCTCCAATCAAACAAGGGACCCCTATGCCCGCGACTGGACCTCCGGAACCTTGGCTCAGCCTGGGTTTGGCAACCTTTTCGCACGTTTAAAGCATATTTCATCAAGCCTAGTGTGGGCCTAGGGTTTAGTTGGGCTTGTTTTGGAGGCTCACCATTTTCAGGCTGAAAGCGGTTTGCAGGAAAGCCACACCGTCTTTTTCGGGGTCCCCCAATTAAGAGGCGGGAGCCGTACCGACATCCCATCCCCGGCCTCAGCTTCTCCGGGCGGAAGAGCCGTGTGAAGGGCTCCCGGCTCCGCAGGCTCTGGGCGCCGCAGAGGAACCACACGCTGATGGCGAGGCGATCCTCTTGGATTCCGAGACAGCCGAGCCGATCCGAGCCGATCCGAGTCCCACGTGGGACGACGTGGGACGGACGGATGGGTCTGCCACTTGGACGCTGGTCAAGTGGTTCTGGGCCAAAAATGTCCGTGGTAGTAAGGAAAGGCCCCAGTGAAGAGTTTACATCCTAAATGAGCTCGATCTAAGAGGACCATCACCCACTCTTGGATGCTGCCAAGCTTACCAAACAATCCGATGCCTGAAAAAAGGGATCCCTACGGACCCACTGGTCAGCTCGGTTTACTCCCGGTAAGCTTGCCACAAGGTAGGCACTCCGGAAAACAGGCATCGACTTTTTGGTGACACCAATGGCACCTTCCTGGGTTGGTCTCGCAAAAGACTTGTTACATCAACGACCCGTTCCCGTTGGTTGAGTCAGGATTCACATTCCAGCCCCACAACCAAGCAGCTGGATCGGTTTGTTTGTAGAGAAACGAGTCAGGAAACAACTTCCAGCCCCACCAAGCGGAGGGATTTGGATCCTCAAAGTGGACACAATACCAGGTTTAAGGTATGACAAATCAAACCTCGGAGCTGTCAGGGCCATTGACATCTACATCGCGCATTACGTCAGGATGTGAAAGTCAAATGGAGTCTTAGCTTCCCGGAGCCGAGTTGGCCTCATGTTAGAGGTTTACCCTTTCTTTTGAGGTGGGTTCTAAACTTCAAGGTGTTTGACAAATGCCCATGGGAGCATGACTTCCTCACTTGCAAGTCACGCAAAAAGTCAGCAAAGACTTGCCTGAGCCATGCTCCGCGTTGATTGGGGGGGGGGGTGGACAAAGCATCTCCTTTGATGCTTCCCGAGCCCCAAGCAGGAAGAGTGACATCCATTTATGCACAAAGCTCACAATTTTTGGGCAGCCCGTCGAGCCAACTCGCAACTGGCTCCTTGTAACAGGCCATCACCTCGTGTGGCACCTCCTGCGTCGACCAAAAGACCACCTGAGAAGCGCAAGGCAAAAGGTCGACGGTTTTTGCGCGGGTCCTTTGCAATCTGTTTTTTGTGACACGACCGTTCTTGGGCAAGGCTCCGGAGCTTCTAAGAAGTTCATTCCTTTGTCGTAGTGCCAAGAGCAAGTGTACCACCAGCGACGCTCGATTTGATCTGCCAAAGCCCTCCGATCTTTGGTTTGGCGGGCTCTGGCACAAACAAAATTAGCACCTAATACTGTGGCCAGCAACGCAAATCGCAAGCTAGCCAACAGTAACAGCTTAAGCAAGTGCCAGAAACAATATGGGTGGGTGTCTGTTTTTAGGGGACCCCGCCGCAAAGTTGTGTTCCTTCGGTTTTCTTTCAAACCAACCAAAGAGGGGGTCCCCTTAAAAGAGACACACCCACATATGTGCTCAAAATTGGGGGGGGGGGGGTGGTGAACGCCAGAGGCAGACTGGCCGTGAAGCATTGCACTGGGCGTAGCTTTGCGAGCGGCGAGAGCCAACTTACGGCCTTCCTCTGGAACTTTTCACTGACACATGGCCTCATGAACAGTTGAAGTGACTGCCTACTCAAGTGGGGGCATCCAAACTGCCTATCTTGCCCAATGTCTGAAAACATATTCAAGGCATTTGAGACAGCGGAGGGAAAGATGCGACATGGAAAGCACGAATGCGGCATTGGCATTGGCCTTGGCCTTCCGCTGGGGTCGGAGCCAATCGATTCCAAATCGGCTCCACATCCCGCTTCACCTGCGGCGTGAAGCTTCCCCCTTTCGGTGCCAGAGGGGGCTGGGTTATGTTGATCTTTCAACTGAGATCTACAAATTATGCCCTGAACTTGGGGTCCGGCCCAAAAGTAGTCCTGAGAAGCGCCCCAAAGGTTCAAATATGAAGGTAATTCGGCTTCAATGGTTTGCATTTTTGTCAGCCGTGGGGCCATTTCCCAAAGCGCAGGCAGCTAGCTGGCTCTGTTAACTTGTGGAATCTGAGGAATGCTCCATGTTCCTCAGAGAGGTTCCTGTGAAAAACGCCATGGGTCCTCCAACGAGTTTCCGAACGACATGCCCATTGCTCCATGGCACCCTCCTCGAACCGAGGGATAGAAGCAAACCGCTCGGGCTACGCGTTTGGGGCAAGATGCAAATTGCATTTGAGTCGAACAATCATTCACAAGTCTCGAAATTCTTGGATCCTTGGTATCCCCTTTCAATTCCTGGCTCGAGCCAGAACGCGAGCCTGGCAGTTCTGCATGCCAGGCTCAAAGAGCCGCAAGCTGCCACCATGCTGCTTCGTCCTGAAATCCGGATCCACAGCTTGAAGCTACGGTCCTCGCTTTCACATGAGGCGCCCAACAGGTCACCCCAAAATGAAGGTCGCATGAACTTGGCGCATGTGATGTTCAAAACCACCAAAAAGACTGTTTGCTTTGCTTTTCTTCATAAGCACAATGGAAATCGCGTTCCTACTCTGGAGCACTTTGAGTACATGTTCAAGCAGGTTTGCTCTCCCCAATTGGTTTTTCCGAGCCACTCAGAACACAAGAATTATTATTGGTACCCATGCAGGCCTTTAAAATTACAGGGTCGCAGGTTGGAGCCAATCCCCCAAGTGAGCTCCCCAAGTCATAGACTCCTTGTTCAAAGGGTTAGTTGGTCTCTGCTCAAAAGGTCAATAAAGTCGTAGTACATAAAGTAGGGCGCTTCCCTGGGAATATTTTCAAACACTCCCAAGGGCACCTCTAATGTGAGGCCTTCATCGGAAAACTCACGGAAAATCCTCCTTCCCCCCTGTGCCGCGAAAACTCTGGCTGCTTTCGGAGCGGGTAGCTTGATGGAACCTGGCAAAGTCCCAGCATGGGCTCTGCTCCCCCCACCCAAGGCTCCAGTCACGGTTCAGGTAGAGCACTGCTGTCAAGCACCGACCTGATGGCATGGCTGTGCGCTAAGGCAGACTGTTGCCCCCGCTGGAAAAACAAAATCCGTACTTCCAGGTCAAAGTTGGCGGTTGTATAAGCTAACACACTCACAAACACACGAAACAAAGTGCAGCCAACTGGAGAATTGTCGCGTATGGATCGCGCCTGAAGTTTCTACGGGTTGCAATCGTGAGTTTTCTCTGGTGGAAGCCTTTTGCGTGAAAGTCACGGGTTGAGCCGCCCCCAAGGCCAAGCAAATTACCCGAAACTATTTTTCAAAATTGGTTTGGGGCCCAGGAAGCAAAGGTGGAGCCGAGAAGGTTTGTTTATCGGATGATCGGCACAGTGTGGGGAGAGACCAGAAGCAAAGCTTTTGAAACGTTAGTATTGTGGACACAAAAATCCATCTTGCGCAACTAGAGGTTGCGTGCAGAGAAACAAGCTCACAGCCCGAGATCACGACATGTTTGTCGTCAGCACTGCAAGAAGTGGGAAACACACCCGCACACACACACACACATTTCCTTTCAGGCTTTGCAGACAACAATCAAGTCACACTATCCACGAAACGTTTGTTGTCCAAGTTTCCAAACTTGCCATCCTAGGGTTTCATTTCCTGGGCGAAACAAATGTTCACATAGAAAATAATATTTTCAGACAGCGACAAAGCTTTCGCAAAGGAATCGTGCTTTCTCCATTGCAAACCAGCATCTGCGCACATGTGAAAGAAGAACACAAGCATAAGTTCAAATGTTCCCCAGACGGCCGTGATTTGGTGTATGGTGGCGAAACAAGCGTAAGGCTAAATTTCCTAAAAGCTAATCAAAAGGTGATGACTTGCTTCCCGCTGCAAAGGCTGGCGAATTCCTTCTTTGTCAGCCTGCTCACAGGCGCTGCAAAATTCAATGAGCACACACACACACACACATAAAGAAACAATCACAGCAACAGGATGGGCAAGCGGTCAAATGCTGTACGCAGCTCAGCTCGATGCCAGAAAAGAGCAACCGTCCGCTCACTCAGAAAGGCAGGCAGAAAGGCAGGCAGGCAAACATGCAAGCAGGACAATCGCTCAGCAACAAGCTGCGTAATCTCTCACACCTCTGGCCAGTTCTTGGCAGTCTGGCTAGTTTCCCCCCTCCACTTGCGCACAGCATCTCTTGTTGCGTTTTCTGGATGCGCGTGCTTCCCTTGCGGTATTAGGAGGGTCGGACTGCTGGTTAAAGTTTCGTACAGTGCCGTTTTCTGTTACCCCAATGCGAATACTATGTAGTCCGAACATCCTTACCTGTGCAGACGCCTTTTGGAAGACCGTCGGTGTCCCTTGCAAAAGAGTAGCGCCCTGCAAACCAGCGCTGCTTTGGGCTCCGGCCGTCGGTGCCCAGCGTGTTGTCCACATGCTTGATGTATCTGGAGGCATTGCCCGGGTAGATGGCGAACCTGGGTAGCTGCAACTCTCAGAATTTCTGGCAGCGCCAACCACTTCCAGCATTAGAGCAACCTGGAAGGGGCGGGTGGAACATGCAGAAACGACTGTTGCTAATGTCGCCTCGGCATTGTGCAACCTTTGGCTCGGCAGAGTCTGCATTATCTTGGACAAACTAGTTGGGAAGTGCTGCGGACGGCGCAAACGCTTGCGCCAACTTCCCACCGAACCTCGAGATTGCAGACCGAACTGCCCGGCTTGAATCGGTTTGCAAAAATCAGCTGCGGAAGTGAGAGAAAGGGAGTGAGATGGCCGGTGTAACCTCATTCCTCATCTCTTCGTCATAGCGGTTAACCTGTTTCCCATCTCTTCATCTCATTTGTAACCGCTGGAAAGAACTGGCCAGCGGGTGAGAGAAAGAGAAGTAAAGAGATGATGCCCGCCGTGATGCGAGGAGGCGGGAGATAATGATGGATGGGATCTCTTTCACCCATCCTCATCCACATGTCCACTCTCTTCCTCTCTTCGTTCGGGAGTGATAGATGGGACAGGACCTGGCTCCAACCGTCACCAGATAAGCCTAATGCAGCAAACAATTCTAAATCCTGGAAGTTGTAAGGGATAAGACTCTTCTTTGTGGGTTATATGATTGCCATAATGAAATTGTCCTAGAGGTAAGTGCTGCAAGGGAATGAATCCTTGACGAAGGGAAAGGGCATTCTCTCTTCACCACCGCTCGCCTCCTTCATCTTAACACTGCACTGTTGATTTGTGTCCGTGGCTCACACCTGGGCCCCGACCTTAGAGTTTTTGGTTCTAGGGCCCTCCTTCCTAATACGAAACCCATAAAGCGATGCCTTCTCGGGGTTGAGCGACACAAACACCCAAGATCGGGTGATATCCTCAACAGCATCGCGCCCGTATGGGTTCTGCAGATGCGAAACTACACTGGTGCACCAGGCAATGGTTTGGTCTTATTCACCGTACGGATTGAACACGAATCGTGCGTTGCACATAATGTTTGGCGTTAGCCCTATAAAAAGGGTCAACACAAATGCAAGCAAGACAAAAAAATGGAATCGGAGCAATCGTGCGTGCTTCCGAAAATGGGAAACTGAGCATTGAAGGAGACTGCGTCCAAGCGACAGCGAGGCAGCACAAGAAACAGAGTCCTTATCAAGAATGAGATCCCCTACAGTGTGGGTTTCAAGGATGCAAGAAGAGCAGTTTCAGGTTTGCTCTGCGATCTTAAAGACAGACATGTCGGGAGGCGGGTATGGTTCGAGGTATGATTCGGGGGTATGGTCCGGGGTATGGTTCGGAGGAACTGAGGCTTCTGTTGCAACAGTCGCTGCTCTGACTATCTACCGTTGGCGAATTTCACGCGCGTGGTCGCAGGGATCACGTGCACAAACAAAAGGTATGGTTCAACGTATGGTTCGGGTATGATTCGGGGTATGGCTCGGAAGCAAGTTTTTTTCCGTAGTAGTAGTAGAAAGAATGGTAGTAGTAGTAGTAGTAGTAGTAGTAGTAGTAGTAGCAGTAGCAGTAGTAGTAGTAGTAGTGGTAGTAGTAGGTGTAGTAGGTGTAGTAGTAGTAGTAGTAGTAGTAGTAGCAGTAGCAGTAGTAGTAGTAGTAGTAGTAGTAGTAGTAGTGGTAGTAGGTGTAGTAGGTGTAATAGTAGTAGTAGTGTAGTAGTAGTAGTAGTAGTAGTAGTAGTAGTAGTAGTAGTAGTAGTAGTAGTAGTAGTAGTAGTAGTAGTAGTAGTAGTAGTAGTAGTAGTAGTAGTAGTGGTGTAGTAGTAGTAGTAGTAGTAGTAGTAGTAGTAGTAGTAGTAGTAGCAGTCGTAGTCGTAGTAGTAGTACCTGGCGTTGTGAAGGGGGGTATGGTTCGGGGTATGGTTCGGAGGTACGATTCGTGGTGTGGTTGGTTCGGGGGTATGGTTCGCACAGGTCGAACTTCCATCCTTTACTAAAGGATGCGCGCCTGAGAAAGGCACACACCCTCTTGCAGTAAAACCAACTGCTATTGAACAAAGGCTGCGTGCTTAGCCAAGCCCGTGATAGAACAATGGACCCGCAAGTAATCCTCCACAGATTTTGTCGTGTGATGCGAACTTTGTGCTTTTTGAGCCTGAGCCCTTGAGCCAAAGCAAGAAGAGTGCAGATAATTGGCAGGTCCGCGTCGATGTCAACCACCTCTGTCTCCCTGTTTGGCACTGGTCCGGCGCGGGCGATGCCCACAGCCCACTGTAATGCCTACGCGAAGGTTTCGCAAGGCTTGGGTTGCGTGGCAGGCGCAGCACTTTTGCAAGATTATCAGGTACAGATTCTGTGGCAGGCGCAGCGCTTTCGCGAGGTCAGGGTAGAGATAGAGAGAGAGGTAGCTAGATAGATAGATAGATAGACGGATGGATGAAAAGATAGACAGATAGATGGATGGACAGATCGATAGTTAGATAGAGACAAAATGAGAGAAAGAGAGATAGAGATAGATAGCTAGATAGATAGATAGAGACACAGAGAACGAGAGAGAGAGAGAGCGATAGATTGATGGTCGCTGTTTTTCGCGATTTCTGTTCCCCCTCCACACTCCCTCTCGCAAGCCTTCAGCCTTTCTTCCTCTTATCTGCGCTTGCAATCTGAATACGCCATACTTTCGCACGCGATATCTAATCGTCTGAAGCTACCTATCTATGCAAGCTACCTTTCATTAGTTTCTGTCCTAAACTTCCTTTGATCAGATCCTTGCCCACTATTGGCTTCCTGGTGCTGGCCAAGCAGATGGCTGGAATTGGGCTGAACCCGGTGAGCCTGCCCGAGCACGGCCAAAGCCAAGGACTGCACACCCAAAGCGTCCCAAAGACATGCTTTGGGCATGGCCTGGAAATTATTGGGAACCCTCGCATTCTTGGAACCCTCCCGTGCATTCCCCGAACTCCCTGCGGAACCCTGCAGAACCGTACCTCAGAGCCGCACCGGACCATCCCGGAGACTATCTGGGCTGAGACCCCACCTGTGAATTCTGTTTCTACTGGGCCTAGGCCAAGCAGGTCTCAACAAATGAGGTCAAATTAAGCCCCATCCTCAAAACGTCGCATGGCCATCTTTTAAAGGGGCACCCCTGAGATGGCCGTGGGTCAACAATGGGCATTCATTCTGAACCCTAAATGGAACCAAGGACTAAAACCTGCCTGGTCTAATTTTGACCCATACCCAAATGTCGACTTTGGACCAAAGCCTTCAAGCCCCCCTTGGTTCACTTCGGTCGGGTGGCATGGCGCCATTGGCCCAGTCCACACATCTCAGTCGCTGCCTCGTCTCCTCGCAGCCCTGCAGCCCCTCGACCAGGGCGTCCAACGCGTCCAAAAGCTCTGGCGCGACAAGCGGGATTGGAAAACACCCGGGTTGGTATGGGTTTCTCTCGGGAGAGAAAACACGAGTCGTTGGCTTCCTTTTGGCTCCCTGAAAACAATAGGGGAATGAACCTCACATTTTGACTGCACGGAGGATCGGAGAAGAAACCATGGATCACCTGTAAGTTCCGGATCTAAACAAGAGAAGTATCCGGGCCAGTTCTCCGAAGTGGCACGCAAATGGGGCTTTTGTTAGATCCAAGCTCGCTAAAAATGCTTAGGGCACAGTGAGCAGCCCTACCTTTTCTTGCATGATCAGTTGGTCACGCCTTCACTGCCTCGACAGTTTTGGGGGTGTTGAGACCCAAGTGGAAGGGTTAAGCAGATATATATATATATATATATATATATGTGTGGAGTGGTCACACTTCGCCGGCAAGCGTTATACTCTACATATCATGCCGGCAGGGATGCAAGCCTATCCTGACCCTGAATGCCTGGACAGCCGGACATCTTCCCATCATCACAGAACTTCACCACATCGCCGCCTTAGCCGAACAGGCAGCGCAGGAAGCCAGAGAACTTGTCACAGCTATCGGGATGCACGAGTCAAGCGGTGTTGACTTTGTGGCGTCTGGAAAATGAGACATCCAACAGCGCTTGGCTTTCCAATGACTAAACATATCAAGTGAAAGACCCTACTCAAATTCCCGAGTTTGAACAACCAAACAAGGACAGCTTTCGATTGTTTGACCGCTCGAGGAAGCTGATTCCTGCGCTCCAACTAGGTTTGGGTCATCAACCACACTGCGCGCAAATTGCCCCGCTTCATTCGACGGTTCCTGCCATGTGACGGCTGGGCTCGTTGAGGACCTGCAGATTGCGGTCCAGTTCTTGATGCAAGGCTCTAGTCGGCATGGGCCATGAAAACGACGAGTTTTCATGAGTCAAGAAACCGTTGTTATGTGCCAGGAAAACGTTGTTCGTGCTTTGCTTCCCCAGGGAAAATCATACTTTGGGAACCTCTAGTGGCATGTGTGTGGGTCGATGGTCCTGTCCCTTTGGAACACGGTGAAATTTTGGCTTCCATGCACTGGGTTTGTCTCGTAGGGATCGAATGGTTGGCCTCCTGCTCCCCCAAACCCAACTCCTTTTTTGCTTTTTTGGGGGGCAACGCTTTCCTCCAAAAAGACATACCGCATAATTATGCCGGCCCAGGTACGAACAATCGAGCCCTTGTCCCCTTGGAATATGTGGGTATGAGTTTAGCTGGGAACGCGAAACGGTTGACATCAGAATACCCCTACAGTTTTCAGTGGCCAAATCCGATTCAACAACAACGAGGACTTCTACACGTCCCCTACCACACGGGTGTCTGTTGCGGGACTCTCAAAATGGCGGTTTTCCTTTCGTTTCCCGTGGAACCCTCCCAAGCAAGGGTGCCATACTCGTTACAGGGTAATACTATTGCCCCCGTCATTGACATTCAACCAAGGAGAAGCCTAACACTGAAACCTCGGTTGACTCCGATCCCAGCGTTGGCCAAAACGTGTGCATGAAGTTGGTGTCTAGCTGATTGCTATCATTCTCCTGCTTGTGCCTTGGACTGGCATCTTCCAAGTGAGCAGAGGCCAAAACCCATTTGGTTCTGCTTCGGCCCACAATGTGTGCGGGCTTTAGCAATGCTCAAAAAACGGGGGAGAGAAGCATCGACCAAAATGGCGCTTTTGACATCTTGAGCACAGAAGCTCCCCGACGCCCGCCTTCGCCAGATCTGTGCCCGTCGCCTTCGATGCTGCCCCGGTGGCGCCCCGCTGCATCTCTGGGCGCGCAGATCTGGCGCTCGCAGCTAAGGCCTCCGCGGAACCGCGCGGCATCGCTGACTGGTGACATCGGCTGACCGCAAACCGTGTCGCTTTCGAGGGTCAATGGCTGCTAAAATATGTTCACATCCCAGAAGCCTGTAAGGGCCAAAACCCTGAAGTAAGGGCTACCCGAAAGGCCAACCCGGCACCACGTAGCTCGTGTCATGGTTGAACTTGTCCTTCTGCAAGCTGTTGCCAGCCCAAATGCACCCAGTGGGTTGCAACATGATCACCTTGTACTTCCCTGAGTCCGCAAGGGTTGGTATATGTTGGTACAAGCCCTACAAATCTACCATCTTCAGTTTCCACTTCCCTGAAACAGAGCGTGCAGTCCAAAAAAATGCACCAACCCAATTTACCGCGACTGGGTAAGGCACCCGATTCCCCAATTGCCCCCCGCCTACAAACCCAATTTGCCACACCCCCAATTGACGCAGATCCCCCGCGAACCGTGGCGCGCCTCGCAGGTCGCCTCCGGCAGAAAGTCGTCGAAGACCGCGAAGTGCTGCGAGGCCAAGGCCCGCGCAGCGGAGCGCAGCGCGGAGGGGGAGGACCACCAACGCGCGCGGCCCTGAGCGCAACCCTCCGGTCAACTCTACCTCCGAATTGACGGTAGAATTGTCCGAATGAAACCCCAGGAAAATAATTTTGGTGGATGGGTCGTCGATTTGGGTATGGGTCAAAAATAGGGGCCTTTTCCCTCCAGGTCCTTTGGTGTTCCAAAAGGTTTCCTTTTGCACGGACCCAGAGACATGCCCGTTTCATGTGGAAGCATGATGCTAGCAGAACTCCGAAAACGAAGGGGTCGCAGGTGGCCAAAAGGCCGCAATTTGCACCGTGAACGGAAGCTGGCATTTGGGTGCCCAGAACCCCCTACTATGGCTAGGCCTTAAACTGTACGCTGTGACCCAAAGCCTGCGACCCTCTCGGAAACCTGCCTTCGCATCTTGCCGCGCGCGCTCAAGCGGCAGCACGACGATCTCATCCACCTCGTAGGCAATTCTTCGAGATCTGTGCCAACATTGTGACACATTGGACACAAAATCGTGGCGATGATGCACACTGGGGAGGCCGGTTGGAGGCCAGCAGGAAGCCGGGAATCAGAGGATCCTTGTGATAGCTGACTGGTGGAAAGGCAGATCTCGACCAAACCCAGACTTTGACGAGGGGCACCAGGCTGGTCACCAGGCGCAACACCAAACTCCATGCCATGAATGCCTGATTCCGTTCTCTGTTCAGAACCAGCCGAAGGACCTCGCTTGATGTTGCTGTTCGCAACACACGTGTTAACCACACCAGCAACTTTCACTTTGCCCTCCCTTTGAATTTAGTCTTCTCAGGCGTCCATCAAAAAGGATGCTTTGGAGACGTGAAGCAAGGGGGTTCACGTGGGGCTCAGATATCGACTGAGCGTGTGTTGCTATGTTGCTACACTGCTATGCAACTTGGGTGCCAGCGCCTCGCGAGGCAAATGATTCTACTGAGAGTAACCAACCCAGTTCGCCGTGCGACTCCCAAAGAACTCAAAGCAGGCCCAGCCGCATGCGCTCGAATCTGTGGAGTGGGCAGGCGGACAAAGGCCATGTACCTGAGAACACATCTGGGCCTGAGCATATGATTTCTGAAGTGCCTATTGAACAGGGAGCTTAAGTGCCACAATTCCCCCCAACATTGGCTAGGCGTCCTGGAAGTGAAGATCCGATTTTTTGGATTCTTTTGGACAGGAACTCAAAGGAACCAGCTTCACGTGCACATCCGAGTCAGGGAGACACTGGTCTGGCCAGAAGAAGCCCGAGAGCTATTCTATCCGAGGGCCCATCATGGACAGTTACCAGTCCCCGAATGACATTGGACTTTATTGGTGCAAGCTCCATTTCCTATTGGCAATTCGGAGCGCATGCCATGTCACTCCCTTGGTGACAATAACAAAGCACACATCGACCGTTCCTCGAATCATTGCGAAACCTCTAGCAGCTCTCGGCGAGATTTGCGCCTAGTAGCTCCATCTCATAGATCAAGCGCATTGGATCCTCCTAGACCGAAGGCAGCCGAAGCAAGCATGCAACGACCCGGTGTCTGGTTTCTGCTTATTTTCTGGCCCTTTAAAGAATCAAAGGGCACTTTACAAGGTACTTGAACCTGGGCCACCTCAGATCCCCTGCTACAAGTTTCACTCCTAGAAGGTTCAATGGAAGCCCTCGCTGAACCAACTAAGAACCGACCACAAAATCAGGGAACCGTCCAGCAAAATCTCACTTGCTGAGTGGATGGCCCAGTAAAAGTCCACTTTATTTTTACCACTAGAATGGTCTTCCCAAAAAGCTTAAAGTTCATGAACTCAGGAAGTGAGAAATGGGGTGTGGTTCCTTCCCGATGATCGATCCTGGCAGTTGGGCAGCACCAAGCCGCTGCTCAGCTTCGCCCACACCCGGCCCCGCAGCGATGCAGGCCGCTCACCAAAGGCCATGCCTGCCGAGTCGCATCGTTATCCCCAACCAGCACCTTCCAACTGTTTCTTGCACAGTTGGGATTTTGGCCAAGGAAAAGCATTTATTGGGGGTGCTAACTAAAAGGTAGATTTTAACATCACCTTTTGGTTGAAAAATGGGCCCGGCGCCGAACATTGTCCGAAAAAGCTCCGAGATCGCTCCGACAAGAACTTTCGAGTAGCCCGAAGCACCGAAACCCGGAGAAGGTTGCATGGCACAGCCCACTGCACCTCCAACACATCAGCAAAAGTGGGCATGTTGCCTAGAGACATCTCCAAAACCAGCTTTCCTAAAATTCATTGGTGGCTTGGCATGGTGGTTTGGTGGTTTAGGCCTGGTGGTTTCCCATTCTTATACCCTCTGCAAGAACCAGGGGTTCACATCCAAATCCAAACCACCGAAGGGTATAACCTGAAGCAAGTCAAAGAATCAAGCGTTCCCTGAAACTGCCAACCACCGATCTTTTTGGGCACAAACCATCTATCAGCCAATGCGGGGTTTCCGTCATCAACCCACTTGCTGAATCAGAGTGGTCGAGCCATGAGGCAGCCTCGACCCCTTGAGAGGCAGCGTACCATGCCAGCAGGAGTTGGGCAAACGAAAGGTGAACGGATCCCAACGAGACAGGCGGACTTCTTGCTGGCGAACAGGAACATTGATAGAAAGCCGAACAGGGTATCGTTGCTTTTTTGTGTTTTTAGATTCCAAATGGAAACCAAAAGACACCCATGGTTGCGGAACCCATGGAAATCACTCCAGTGATATACTAGGCATTCCCAAGAAACCTTCCTCCTCAAACGACGGTCCCTCCGCTTCGAGCCAACCGGCGCCTCTGAGCACCTCCTCCGCCCCCGCGGAGGGCCAGGGGTGGAGCTCCGTGGTCGCCGCCCTCGGCGCTTTTGGACCGGTGCCGTCAAAAGCCGGATGCACTTGGCTGGTTGCGTGAAAGGTTGTTGGCAAACGGAACTTCAAGCACAAAAAGCCAGAACAACACCAGAAAAGTGGGCTAGCATGACTGGACGACTTTCACCTTTTACCGTCCTGAAGACAAGACGTGGCCTGAGAGCAGACTTGCCGCGGCTTTTGCGTGTACTGCGGGCGCTAGTTGCGCGCCGCTAGAGAGCTGCTGAAGCCTTGTCACTCTCTTCAGATACTTTTAAGAAGCCGGTCTGCGACTTCTAGCCGTGTACCTAGACAAGCTTCTGATGACACCCAAACAAACGCCGCTTGTCAATGTTCCTGTTCGCGCAAAGGTTGCTTGATCTGTAAAAATTACCAGTGCATTGCAGTCCCGTTGCTGAAATGCCCATTGGACGCAGTGCCTTCAAGCAGGCGGACTGCAAACCAGAGCCGTGATGCACAAAACAAATGATGCCACCCGGCGCAAACATAATCCAAAAAGGTTCGCCGGACCTGATGATGTTGCTTCGGACCTGCCCCGAACGCAGTGGAATTTGCAGACACATGATCAGGGCAAAGTGAATCGCGCAAACATAATCCAAAAAGGTTCGCCGGACCTGATGATGTTGCTTCGGACCTGCCCCGAACGCAGTGGAATTTGCAGACACATGATCAGGGCAAAGTGAATCTCGTAATGATTGTCCCTTCGTGCAAAATGGAACACGGTCATTCGAACCTGCCTAGCACGGGTGGGTGGCGGGTCCCATACACAGCAACTTGGAAGCCCCAACTGTGGATTCCACCCATCGTTGCATTTGTGGACCCTTGAAAGGTTGAATCCCAAGTTGGGGCATTTTAAAACCAGCCCATATATGAGATGAGCACACATTCAGCCCATGGGCTCATGGGCATTTCGGTGCACCAATTGTTTGGATTTCAGAACCCCACGAGCTCCCATCAAACCATCGTCTCCATGGCCCGGGGTTTTGGGTGGTGCTATGGGTGCGCTGGTTTGAGGAAACCCTTTTCACCTTCGTTTGAAGGAAAGCCAAAAGGAAAACACTTTGCTGGTGGGCCCATGTTCGTCTTGACAGCTTTGTCTCAAAATGGGGGAATCCCCAACTAACTTTGGTTTGCCGTTTCAGCCGCCCAAGCCAAGCGGTTGGCCGTCCATTCGACTCGGCGCTTGAGAGTGTCTTCCCGGAAGGTGACCAGCTGAATGGCCCGCAAGCAGGTGGGGCAGCAGGCGTCATAGAGCACATGGATAACCATCGCTCCGTTCCGGCGGGGTCCAAGGAACCGACGGGGCACGGGGGCACGGGGAACTCGAGGTCTGAACATGTGGATTGGACTATCTGCCTGTGTGTAGTACATCCCATGAGAAGCATAGGCCTTTGTGGACCCAACACAAAAGCAAGCCTGAGCTAGTCCATCTCGTTGAATCTAAACCGCTCATAGTCTGCAGGTTCATCCTCTAGATTTGCACATCCCCCAACAAATCGTGGCTCAAACCGGTGACATAATGAACCCCGGATCCTAGCTCCAATTGCTGCTGTGTACTTGCCTTTTGTTAAAATCGTGTCTGGAAACAAACTGCAATTCGGAGGGCTCGATTCCTGGTTCGACCCACATGCTCATCTCTCTGAAGTTGCTTTCGGGTGAACTTTGGTACTTGCCCCGGCAGGGTCAGGATTGACGGTCTTTGTCCTGCCCAACAACTCGCCCTCAGAGTTTTCGGCACTGGTCACTGTTTGGCGCGTGCAGCTTGCTTCTTCTCATTGGTTTCGAAAAGCCCTGTGGCTCTGGGTAGGCAGTCGGGTGGCTAGACCAGCTGTGGTGGCTCTTCTGCAGCTACAGATTCGAACTTCAGCCAAACACGAGTAGCAACCCATCAACGACTGCTTGCTTCGGATCCGGAAGAATATGTACCAAAAAGGCCTGCTCGCTCAGGAAGCAAGGTAAATGAAAGACATCTTGGGGTTGCGGGTATCCCTGGCCCCTCATTCATAAGTTTGCCCAATCAAGATGTGCCATCGCCAAAAACTCATTATGTGGACCATGGCGGTTCTCTTGCCAGGAACGCGTAGTGGGACGTCACAAGGGCAACCCGGCACAAGGAGCAAGGGCTGATGTTTGAACCATCCAGTTGATGGTTGATTTCAACGGAAAATCCTGGGCAAAACTGATCCGCATCCCGCCGCCCGCCGCTTCAAGTCACGCAAGAGGGCGCTGTCCGCGTTTTGCCACTCGCGCGTGGCGGGATCAGTCGGCCACTTTCTCCGCGCTCTTCTCCGCTTGAGAGGCCTCTGAAGCCGTCGCCTCCATGATCTGATCCTTCACCTTCCAGCAGGAAGGGCGCCGTGAAACCCCAAAACGTGCATCCCCCGAAAGAGGCACACCTAAGAAGGGCATGGCTAGCACACAAGAAGCATGTAGATGATGCCGTCCGAGGGCTCCCCATGTTTCCCTCGAAACTTTCAAATCCGCCCCAAAGGAGATGCTGTTTTTGCAGAAACTTGCAATCAACCCTGCAGCCAGCGCCAGCCTTCTCCTCCTCCTCCAGGATCTCCCTCTCTGTGTCCTTGACCTTCTTAGCCGCTGCGATGGTCTTGTTCACCTTGGAGTCCGTCTTCAGGAAGTTCTGTACCTTTCGAGACAGTTCCTTTTGGGTTCACATTAAACCTTCAAAAGAGTCAAGAGAACTCTCGGGACATTGGTTCCCCCAAATTAAACGGCTCCAGCTTCCAGGCGCTTTTTTGCTTCGGTGACCTGTTGAAACGTGTTCATGTCAGCTCTGCTTCTTGAAATGAAGCCAACGGGAACCCCATGGTTTAAATTTGTGTTTCCACACCAACTCCTTTTGATTTGCTCTGAAAATGCTCATGGCAACTGTACACTGCACGATTTGTGTCTCGGGGAGATCCCTGTTTATAGTCCTAGTAATCCGCAAGACACGATACATCATTTACCTGGGGATGTGTATGCCTACCATTTTGAATGGCGTTCCAACTAAATCATGGGATCGGATTCCACTCCAGGGCACTCATTGAGTTGCCTAAACAAAGCTTCCATTCCAAGGGGGAACAGGTTGCAACCCTTGTGCGTTGACCTGATCTGAAAGGTACGCCAAAAGGAATTTTATATTCTTTTTGGCGGCAAAGCTGAAAACTTCTCGTTGCATACTCCTTGCACTTCGCAGGAGCCCACAAATTTCCACCGAAAAGCCGGAACAATGGTGCCTTGTCCTGGTTGGTCATCTCTACTCGTATGGTAGCTAAAAACTTGGTTTTTTGCAGACCCCCCCTAAAAATGAACAGAACACTAAAAAAAACTAAAAAAAAACATGCCAAGAACAGTGAAGTTGGTTGACTTCCAGGGACCGTCTTCCCAAAGACTAAAGCCAAAAAAAAAGGGGTGTCGCTGGATGCACTTCTTTTTTTTCCCCGCACCTTCCACTCCACCAGCTTGCTCTGCTCCATGAGGACCTTCTCGGACCTTGGCTTCGGGTGCGTCTTTATCCTCAGAGTGACCCTGGAGAAAGAAAATTTGGAACCCTTTCTCGGGGCTCGGACCATTTTCGTGGGGCCACCCAGAAAAAGGGGAAAAAGAATTGGAGCCACTGAACAACTGAGTATCATGATCAATCTCATGCTCAATGGAAGGTACTCGCCCGAGTAACATGGAACCTGACAAACGGGCCGAGGAACGTTGCCTTCATGCCCCCGGAACCTGTCAGGTTCCTTCGGTTAACGTGGGAGGAAGGGCAAACTTGTAATGGGATATGGCATGAACCCCTCCAAACTCGAAAAAAAGTCTGAAGCCCTAAACGTGCACCCTCCCACAATCATGGCACCTAACAAAGGGCCCCTTGAAGAGGAAATTGACCTTCTAAATTCTAAGCACCCTTCTGCAGGTGCTTAGGCTAAAAGCTCCTTCCAGTCGCTGTAGCAGGTAACCAGGTTTCATGATGGCTGAGAATGCCTTGGATTTTATGACTACTACCCATTTTGCTTGTCTTGAAGCACTGGGCATGGCGAATTAGCCGAGAGGCATGGTCAGATTCGCCTGGATCAGTGCGAAGTGGTGCTTCAGCCGCTGCAGGCGCCGGGTCCTTGCCATCGGACATGGGAGCTGCGCATGGCCAAGGAAGACCCAGTTGGCTGTGGGCGGCCCTTCGGTATACATCAGAATTTGGTGGGGATTAGTCTGCCCCCCACCATTGTTGAGGGGGCTGTAGCCAAACGGGTGTGTCTTGTTTGCTCGTTGGGGGACCTTCATGAAGCAGACGCGCGCGCCGAGTGTCCCGCAACAACTTCCGAGCAAGGCAGACCATGACTTGGCTGGGTGGACCGGCCTTCAAGCGCAAGAGCAAAATAGGAATTGAACCGTGTCTTGGAGGGACCGGGGAAAGAAGGGGGAGAAGAGCAGGGAGAAAAGCAGACCCCGAGCGAAAGAGGGGAGAGGTGCGGAGACAGCGGTGGCCAGGGCGGAGGATCGAACTTCTGGCTGCCGAAGGGCTACCTGTCGTGATCATGACTCAAGTCATTGACCTCGACGCTTACGCTTGTGTAGGCCTCGCAAAAAGGTGCTTTTGCAGACTGCACACTCGGAGAAGAGCACACTGGATGTCCGTGGCTCAGTTCGGGAGTCCCATGTCTAGGTCACCACGTGGTCTATCCTGATTCCCGCCCAACTGGACCTTCAGAAGTTGGTAAGCGTAACATGGGAAGGCTCAAGGTCTCAAGGCCTCAACCCGGAAAGTGAGTTGTCCTTGTGGTTTGCTTTACACCCCAAGAGGTTCCCTAAGTTGGCGAGAGAGGGGTTTTCTTTTGTGGGGCACAGAACCATGGACATCATTTAGGTCGGGATCTATCCCATTGAACAGTTCATCGCCGCTTGGACGCGCAGCCAACCCCTGGAGAGGAGAAAATCGAAAATCCGCGGGACGTTTCGCTTACGCCGAGTCTCAGAACCGTGTTCTCGATCATGTCCATCTCCGCCGCGTGCTTCACCGCCTTGTTCAGCTGCCGCACCACCTTGGCGAACTCCGCCTTTTGGTCCTGGCTGCGGCCTCCTTTGGCTCAGAGAGCGGGGGGGGTTGGGGGGGGGTTTGAGGGTGCACTCGTGTGCGTGTGCGTGTGTGTGTGCGTGTGCGTGTGCGTGCGTGCGTGCGTGCGTGCGTGCGTGCGTGCGTGCGTGCGTGCGTGCGTGCGTGCGTGCGTGTGTGTGTGTGTGTGTGTGTGTGTGTGTGTGTGTGTGTGTGTGTGTGTGTGTGTGTGTGTGTGTGTGTGTGTGTGTGTGTGTGTGTGTGTTTGTTGTTTTTTGGAGACTAAAAGGCCAAACACCATGCTGGGAGGATCGCACCATTCAGCTTTAATGGAGAATCCCCTCCCAAATGGTTGGACATAAAGTCCCACCGAATTCTGATGTCCACCGTTTTCGGGTGTCCGATTCAAAGAAACTTACACCCATGTGAGATGGCTCGTCCGAACAGCAGGGGGAAACCGGGCCTGGGCTTTGGTTCGCCTTAAGAACCAAGAGTGCAAAGGTTACATCAAAACACATAACAACACTGGGTGTCTTTGAAGATTCGCGGCCGGGACACTAAATGGATGGCTAACCTCTCACATATGATATGTCCTCTTTAAACATCATCCCCGATGATGGCCTGCAAAGAAAAGAAATTGGGCAATTCAAGTGACAACTCCCAGAACTAGCCCCTCTAAACTGTGGCTTGAAGCAAACATATTGGGTCTCAAACGAAAAGGCGAACCAGGGTTGGTTGTGAATTTCCAAATGAAAAACCAACCGGGTTAGTTGAACAGCCTGGAGTCAAAACCTGGTGTTGGACAAACTGAGGTCTCCCTCTCTTTCCCTTTGCTTCCCCACGTGTCCCTCTGTCTTTCCGTCTCCTGACCTCTGTTTCCACACTTTTCCCACTGCTTTCCTCATCAACCCAGGCCAAAAAATCCAAAAAGGAAGCTGAGTCTGGCAACGGATAGACCCTGTTCAATTGTGCGTAATTTCGGTCGGCTTCCTTTCGTTCTTTGAACACCCCCCAACAGAGTACCGTCTGAAAAGCACACCAACCATTTCTCACTATTTGGCTTGCTCTTTTTGCTGGCTCCCGTGCCAAATTTCTCAAGCAAGAAAACTCACAAGCAAACTTCTCCTCTCATGCCCAAAAGCCCGGTCCAACTATGCGAAACATCTCTCTGTCGCCCCTTCCGAACATGTGGATCCTTAGGAGTTCGAGTTACTGCATTTTTTCATGGGTAAGCGCGCGGTGGCGGCAACCGAAGCAACATTTTCTTCTGTCTCCCCAACTTCTCGGGTCCTCGGTGAACTCTCCCTGCTTGCCCGGAGGCCCTGGGGGGCCAGCGTCGCCCTGCGGCCCTGTCTTGCCCATATCGCCCTGGGCGCCCGAGTTGCCCGGAGGCCCTGGGGGGCCGACGAGCTCGTCCATGTCCACGTTCTCCATGAGGCTGTCATCGCCTGGGTCAAAGGAAGCCGGGTTACAACTCGATATTTGACCTGGAAGCAGTTTTCTACCAAGGAAACTCCCCATTCCTACCTCCTTGGCTCGAAATGTAACCACGGGCCAAAGGTCCCTGCCGACCAGCTAGTTCTAGCGTGAGGTGATATTCAAAACCGCCCCTTAAGGGGAATCGGGATCCCTGAGCCCAAGCATAGCTCAACTTTGGAGTTCGGACTGCACGCCGGACGGCCTGGTGGCCCTGCAGGCCCATCTGGCCCTCGCAGGCCCATCAGACCCACGTCCCCAGTGGGCCCGGGCGGCCCGGGCTGGGTCCACACGGTCTCCACATTCCTCGGATACCACACGAAAAGCTGGCTTTGCTTCAAGCTGATCCCCGGCGTCTTCGGCAGGCGCAAAGAAAAGGCTGATTTGGCAAGGAAGCGCAATCCATCTTTATCGGCAAAGCACCACCACACAGAAATCAACCTAAAGCCTAATTGCATTTTTCAAGCTGGAGTTGAAAACTTGGATAATGCATGGTGCCGCTGAAGCAGTCGTCCCAAAACATATCGAGTCCAGAAACTGGTCAGGTTAGCGCGCAAATTTCTACCTTCGTCCGATGGACATGACAGGTTCACTACAAGTGGACATGAGAAACATGGACCAGGGGAAACGAACGAGTTCCTTGGCGAACTGAGTCTTAAGCGAAAGGGCACCTAGAAGATCGATTTCCTCCTGCCATGACCACCGAGGGCTTTTTCGGGCTCGGGGCCTTTTGCCCCAATCAAGCCGAAATTCTCGATGGTGCCGCTCTCATCCGTCACCGGCATCTGCATCATCCTGTGCCCATCGGAAATCCAAAGTGTTGGCGCAGGGTTTGCCTTCACTTTGGCGATTAGACAAAAAACCGATGGTACTGATAAATGGTCAGAACCAAATTGAAGCCAGTGCGCTGCATTCTGAAACAATTTGACCTAGGACACCTACACCTATGCTTTTGCCCTGTGGTTAAGAATCAAGGGGCCCGCTTTCAACTAACATGGAAGGCCAAGACTTTGTTTTCTGGTTCCTTGGATCCTAGCCTTTTTCACCCCAAGCTTCTGAGAAAAGGGAATTCTAGGGCCACATCCTGAAAATCTGCGGGCCAACAACGTGCAATTCTAAAGAATCACATTGTTGGTCATTATATGTTGGTTTGCTGGTACCTCTGACTGATCAGGCCCTCATCGTGGCGGCCATTTTAGGCGACTTTGTGTGCGTTTGCTCTCTCGTTTTGCGCGTACTCTTCTCACCTTGGTTTGCATTGGAACCAACATGAACATCATTTGGGCACCCCTATTTTGACACATAACCGGTCACTTCCCCCCGCGCGGCTCGGAGCCCGGCTCGCTTCGACCCGGGAATCGCGCCCGCGCCTCAGCCCCGTGCTCGCCGCCGCTTGGAGCGCTGCGAGGGACTCGAAGTGCGCCACAGTGGCGGAGCGCTGCAAAGCCGAGGCATCGCCCGCGCTGAGCAAAGAACCAGAAGACACCTCCCGACCAGGACCAAGGGACCACCCCCAAAAACATCGGCAAACTCCGATTCCAGTGAAAAGCGTGTGCCTCCCAGGAAACCAGTATTCTAGGATTCAAAGCCCGTGATGCTGGAGAAATTGCTGCTGCCTCAAACCCATGTCTAAGCGTAAAAGGTCATCATGCTCGTTAGTTGTTGGCAGCGCTCTTTGCAAGCTCGGTTCCACCTGGTCCATCCAGAAAAGCTGTTGCACCAATATAAATGCTATGTTGGCATCAAACAAATGTGGCGTCCTGTTTCAAGACACCTCCTAAGGGAAGGATTTGGGCTGGATGACTTTATCTGAAGAGTTCCAGCACCCCAAGGGCACCAAACCCCTTTCGAGGTCCCTGTTCAGCAAGTTGCAACACATCCCAAATCGATTCCAACCCGAGTCAAGGATCGACCGGAAACAAAAAGAACAGGGTCGATCGACGTCACAGCACATTTCGTGAACTTGCGTACCCTGACACATTCGGAAAATCGCACACGACCCTCACCTTGAGCGGTTGGGCTTTAGATTCACTTCGTGATCTTTATTCTTCCCTTTCGAGCACTGAGAGACCTGAACCCTTGTGCTCTTGCCAAAATGACATATGGCCAAGCACAAGTTTCCCATCCTGACTCACTTGCACTGGCAAGTGGGAGATCCTTGGCCAAAAGGGCCAGCGGAAAAGGATTGCTCACTCAAAGCTATCACTCGCTCTATCAGTTCCAATTGCCCGAGTGAGGGGTGTTTCTCATACTCATCTTTCCGACCACGACAAAGGCGTTGGATGTTCCATGCAATTCGGCCCTCCATGCGTCGACTTAGTGAATGTGCGATCACACCAATGTGTATGCGTAACCTTCGCTATCCCTTCCTACGGGTATCTTTTGGCCTTGGTTCTTGTGCCACCCAACACCTAGGATTGAAACTCGGTCCAGCAGAGAGGTTAGAACAAGAGTACCCTTTTTCTCTGTAGTCTATTTTAGCAGGGGAACCCTGACCCAAAGAAGGGTGATAAAGGGCACTACTGGACCTAGTAAACTTTTTAAGCGAACAAGAGAAGTGGGCGACAGAGTGGCGCAGTGGAAATATATGGCCCCGCCTGCGCGGCTTGGCCGGCCCCTGCTTTGGACGCCTCCCGGCGAAGCACCTGGCTGGTCTCACCACTGGCCAGGCCCAGAAGAGCGAATACCTGGACTCGCGCAAAATGCAAAACCCGGGGTGTGTTGAAAAAACCGGTGGAACCCTCCTGTTTTGAACGGTCCAAAAAGAAAACCAAGAGGAAACCCAGCCTGGAGGGGTCCCAATTTGGAGACAAATAAACACCCGGGTTGTCAAATGGGTCAACTGGCATTTTGTTTACTGGGTGACCCTAGATCGGATGTCCTTTCGGAGCCCGTTTGTTCGAACCCGTTGAGTCGGGGTGAGTTTCCTTCTTTGCTTTCTGTGGATAAGAGGTGAAACACATACAGTTGTTCTACCGGTACTTCCCGAAGACTAGTTTGTTTTGGCTGGGTGTTTTCACAAATAGGTGGGGTAAGGATCAAAAGCCGAAGGTTATGAATCAAAGCGCGGCCGAGATACGAACAAACGGCCCATGACTGGCCGATTCACCTGACTCCGGGCAGATCCAAGCCCAAACACTGCGGAGATAAGCAGGCAAGCGAGCAACTGGCAGTGATGCCATTAGAAACCCCCAAGTGTAGCTGTAGGCAAAAAGCATGCATCCATGTGCATCAAGTTCTTTTCGATCGCCGGCTAAGCTTGGGCGCGCCCAAGTGCTGGAACAAAATGCAAGCTAATCGAATTCATACATACATAAATATATTTCGCAAACGCGGGTCCTCATCCAACGTGCTCGCTGTTGGATGCCCTGTTGGATCTTCCAGCAAAAAAGTGAAATGAAAATGGCAAGCAAACCATTTGCCCGCCCTTCCATTTAACATGGAACCCACCAGAGGGTCGCTTTTAGAGGAAAAAAACGTCTTCCAGGATCCCTCCCCTCAGGTTCCATGTGGTGGAAGTCTACTGAAAGCCCCCTCTCAGAGTTGCTGTGACACAAAATCCCGGAAAACCTTTGCGAAGTGAGCGTCGCGGGGCACGCCGTGGCCTGAGAATCGCAAAAGCGATCGGCGGCGCCCGAGAGCCCACCGGCAGTGGTGGGTTTGGCATGGGAAAGGTCGATGAGAGAGAGCCCTGCGAGAAATTGAAGCCCTTTTCATCCGTAAAACCAATCTATTAAAATGCAAAAAGGTGGAAAGGGTGTGACAAGACATATAGCAACCAAACATGCACGAGCTTGGTGAAAGAGCCGCCTGCGTCATGCGCGTGGAGCTGTCTTCTTGTGAAGAACTCTCCCACGTGCTTGCCTTAGGCGCTGCTGACAGAGTACTCCCCTGCAAATTAGCTTAAAACCCCGCAAAGCCATCATGCTTGATGGCATCTCCTTTTGGGGAACTCTCGTTTTGGGTCACAGCGAATCACAATGCAATGTCGTGTTTGTTTGCAGGGAAGTCACGGGAAGAGATGACCCAACTACTGCCAACCTGCGATCTAAACCAGCTCTCTGGAGGAACCCAACAAATTGTTGGTTTTCTTTTGGTGTCACTTCAAAAGTGAGACCCTCCCCCAAAAAAGCAGGGTTCCTTGAAGGATACGTCCAAGAACGCCCTCCTTGACAAGGGCGCCCATTTAATTGGCCCAACTTTGTCATCCCTTTCAAGGGCGTGAGCGGTGACTCCCATCGAGTCCAATCAGATCCGATGCCCAGGTGCATTCCTCCACGTGCTCTTCCTTACTTGTCCAGCCACGGCACATTGGACACCCCTCAATGACGCTCCAGGAAAGACCAACCCGAGAAGAAGAAAAGAAGGACACCATGACACCCTCTTTGGTCTCTTGCAGTTCACGGGGCCAAACACACACACACACAAACGCATTCTCCCGGAAAGAGCCACCAAACAGTGGCCAAAAAACATTGTGAGACAGGAATGACTGACCATGGGTCACTTTTCCCAATTAGTGCCAAATCTCATCATTTCGGTGGTTTTCCCCAATGGTCGTCCCATGTAAAGGACCTTTTGATCAAGCCCTGAATCTCCGTGAGAAACATGAAAGTAACCGCAGCAGATGCTGACTTGTCTCAAAACAGATTTTCCCGTGGCCGATCCTGCACAAGATCTCTATAAAAGGACCCTTACACAGGATCTCCGCGCAAGATGCGGACCTCGTAGCAAGACTTCTGTATCTGCGTACATTCCTCTTCTGATAAACTGGCGACAGATTGCAACTAAAACGCCCTGTCTTGAAACAAATCAGCCCAAGGCGACACAAGCGAAATCCGGTTGCACTCGAGGCTCTGCAGGGTCATAAGCCAGCAAGCAGCTATCAGAGCGGCGCTGCAGCCCCGGCGCTTTGACTGGTGACAGAAGCACTTTCCAAGCGCAGTCCTGGTGGAAAAAGTCGAAAGGGGTTCAGGTGGAAAGCAAGCGGTTTCTGCCGCAAGTATCTCCATTTGCTTTTTCGCCCCCTGGCAAGAAATGAGAACAAATCTGTCCAGTAGTGACAGATGTCCTTTAAAACCAACAGGGAACATATGACCTCTTCTTAAGCAAATGGAAGATTTCTAAAGTGGGCCATCCCCAGGACTATGATTTATCACTCGAAAGGGGTCTCCTTGTCACAGAAAGCTGCTCCAGCCTACTTTCCACAGACATGAACGGTGACTCGGCGTTTGAAGATTGTTCGGCGATTTAACCCCCTGAACATGTCCAACCATATGATTGTTTTCACTTTTTAAGATCAGGTATTTTCCAGCCTTTTATGGGGAACCCAACAGAAGGTTGTTTCAACAATGGTGGCTTAAGCATACAACGAGGCGTTGGTGCAGTCCTGACAAGTCTCAGTCTGAAGAGCATCTTGCTTCATGTTTATCTCTGACTCACCAAGAAAAGACACGCGCGGCCCTTTTTTTTGTACAGGACAGCAAAGAAAAAGGGGCGCCGCCTTTGTTTTCCCCTGGGGTTGAGCTCGTAGCCTTCAAGGGAGTTTTCTTCTCCCGAAGTGGGCTGGTCAAACCGGATCCGGACCAAACGTTGGACAGGCCAACTACTGGCCCTCGAAGATGTTTTTTTTCTTGCCTGGACCCAAGGCAACAGCCCAACCAGTTTTACTTGACTTGGTTGACGTTGGAAGGGGAGCCGAAAAATGAAAATTTTAGCAGCTGGAAGTGGTTGGATTTCAACCACTAAACCACAAAAGCAAAACTGGGCAAAATGTTTCCCAACAACATGTTGAAGCCCTGAATGCCAGGGCTTAACCCAAAGTCTTTAGCACGAACAAGGCCCAAGGAACCGGGCTAAAGGTGAGGTAGGCTTCTTCCTTTGCCCGCTGGTTGACCTTTAGAGGCAAAATGTACAAAGCAAAAGCACCTGCGTTAGACCAAGGACAAGCTGATATCACCCAGCAAATACGCGCTATTGTACTGGGCTTTGAAGGGAAACCAAAAGGAACCCCATCCATTTTGGTGTGTCCCCTCAAAGATACACCATGCCTCTATATATATATACATATCAAGTATTGGCAGTGCTGACTACCTGGCTTGCCCCTGCCTGTAGAGGTTTGGGGCTGACGGTACGGACACCAAACCTATCCGCTTGGAGAGGGGATCTTTTCCGTTCAAGAAACACACGATCCATTCATCCCCCCGATTTGTTATTCTAGGGTTTACAAATTTGGGTGTTTCTCCAAGGGATCACCATGTGGCTGCGTCTTTCTTTGAGGGTGCCCTTTTTTAAAGGGAAACCAAAGGAGCACCGCAGTTGGTGTGGCTCAAATTAGAGAGCTTGGGTTACGCAGGTTTCAGTCCTGGCGTTTTGGTGCATGTGATTGCCCCATAACACAGCCATTTGTGGGGCTCAGCTCCCCCCCGAAAAAAAGGAAGGAACCGGACCCAATTGTGCAAAAATCCTACTATAACTCCACAAGCTGAATTAAGAATTACGAATTCATCTCCAAAAATCTTACTACTCCAAGAGCTGAACTAAGAATTTTGAATTCCCCCAAGTAACGAAGCATTATCATAGCTCGTGCCATCCCCTGAGCTCGCCATCCGCATCCACGTCTCTCGGTCCAGCAGCGCGGCCACGCCCCCGCCCTGGGAGAAGCCCACCGCGCCCACTGCGCCAATTTGGCGCACCGAGGGCAGCGTGGCGCTCAGCGCCTCGTAGTTGGTCTGCCAACCTGGAAGACGCTTGCGCTGTTGACCCTCTGCAAAAAGTCTAGTACTCTTTGTGGCTAAAATTTGGAAAACCCTTGATGTCAGCAAAAAAGTTGAAGTCCGGAGATCCAACCCAATATTCAAGTTTGGCTGGTTCGGAGGTGGCAACCCCTTTGGCTTCAACAATTGGCATGGAAAAGATCAACTAGGGGACCGTCATGAGCTCCCAAAAAGCGCCATCGCAGCGAAACTGTCTGAAAACTATAGATTCAAGGGTTACCGGTTTGGGGCCCAAAAGGAAACAACAAACCGTCCAAGTGCGCTGCTCGCACATTTTCACGCTTGAACAGCCACACTGCGGATGCAACGGATGTAAAACCCCAAACTGACCGATCAAATTCTTCACCCCCCTCTGCGTGTTAAAGGGGCCTTTCACAAAGCAGCCAAACAGAAACACAACAGAGGGAGAAGGTCATGGGGAACCGTTGTATACATGCAAACCATGACAGTTGCGCTTTTAGCGCCACTGCCAAGTAGATTGGTAACCGCTGCTGTCATACCATCCTCCCCAACCGGACCAGTTCTGCCAGCTGCCTTGGCTCCAATGCTCACCCTCGCGGGCGGCGGGAGCGCTCTGATCGGCATAGCGAGCGGCATTGCGAGCGAGGTGCTTGGTGCTCTCGTTCTTTGAAAACTCAACTGAGTTTCGGGCATATCGCTCGTTCTGGCTGAATATCCAGTCCATTTCATGGCGGAGGTCCTCGAGGGAATTGCTTCGCAAATGGATGATGCCATTCCAACATCCAATGCTGCGAGGCTTGTCCTGCTCGGAGACAACATTCACAAAAGCCCGTGGACTGTATGGCATTCCCTGAAACATGATGATCCAACGGGAACTGAGTGCATCCTGCAATTCGCTGGGCAGAAACTCCACCTCCGTCTTTATGTACGCGAGCCTTGCGATTCGCGACTCAGAAGTTGATCCAAGGCCAACTCCAAGAGTGCGCTGGGCTTGCGACTGCTTTGGAGCAGCCAAGACGAGGTTTGCACACAACTCCATGCGGAGTATATCCGCATCCCGACGGCCCACTTCAAGCATACGAAATCTGTATTGAAGGTCGAGTTCATAGCGATCAAGTAGAGAGTGGTAGCCGTTCTTCAGGGCGGACTTGTGCTTCTTCCGGGCCTCCTGAATGACAGCACTGTCCGGGGAGTTCAGGCCACGAAGGATGCTACTCCGATCCTCCTCGCGGAGGTCAAAAGTTCCCACGGATGCCAAAACCTGGGCTGTGACATGGGTGCTGAGGCCCATCTTCTTCAGCAAATTGGAACGCTGCACAAGGTAATTCTTTTGCTGCTCTTTCAACAGGCGAGGATTGAGGGGTGACAACTGCCCACATGATGTGCAGTGGACCTGCCCCTCGAACACACTGTTGTTGCAAACCGGGCACGCGGCGACATTCAGCTCAACGTTCTCCATTGGATTGAAAGTCTTCTGTCTCTTCGCTTCCCCTTGCGGGGCGCGAGGAGACGCCACATTGGTGCGGGTTGTTGCAATGCGCTCCAGTGCTGTGGACCGATCATCAACCACGGCTTGGTCGCGCTTCATCCCCTGGGGTTCATCCTCAGTCGCCTCAGCTGGTGCACCTGCATCCGATTGCTCGGAGCGAGTGTACCATACATCGCCATTTGTAGCGTCCAACACAGAAATAATCGTGTAGTTGGGCACCTTGTCGCGCGTGAGGACGCCATCGTTCTCCGTCTTGAAAAAGCAAAGCCCTGCACGAATGGCCATCCTGAGGTCGATCTGTATTTCCAAGGGCTTGTTAGCGCGTACACCTGAGATGTAATTCTCGTTCGTGCTCGGAATGTCAGCGAAGAAAACGTGAGGTCTGCCTGTCTCGTGCTGGTCACCTCCTCCTGGAAGCAGTCCGTTTCGCATAATGTTGGCGAAGTTCCGCTTATCGGTGCGATGATAGAGCACCGTAGGAGGGTTGCTGCAGACGTTCCAGCCAGACCAGCGCCCGAGGTCCGTCCCCGGGTTCACGTACCACTCCTTCGCGATGCCGGAGTCGTCAATTTGGAGCCAGTCCTCATGGCCTTGGGAGGCCTTGATCTTGAAAATCCAATGAGAACAGGGGACGTCTCCGCACCGGCTTGCGTCCGGGCAACCAAGCGCAATGAACCTCTGCTTTTTGTCGAGCTTGAAGATGTCCATGATGCTCTGAATATTCCATGGAATGGGATGTCGCAGCTCCTTGCGAAGCGCGAGTCCCAAATCTTCAAGGTCCATGTAGCCGTCCTCATCCATCACGTACCCACATCCTTCTGTCCCTCGACCACGGAGGATCTTCGAGATGCACGTCAGGGAGCTGTGGCACTCATTGCTGATTCTCCTGACGGAAGGGTCGTAATCAAAAGAAGGCTGCTTGATGATCTCAAGTCGCTTGGGGCCCTCACCATAGTCAACATACTTCACGCCGTCATGGGTGCTATAAACCCAGCAATCGTAGTGGCCCCCAGTCACGTTCCTCCCGTAGGAGTCGAGTGGTACCGGCCTGCTCGTCGCCTCGTCCCTCTGTGCCACCGCAGCCGCCTTTGCACCGGCTTGCGCCGGGCGAACACTTTCGGAAACATCAGCACCGGAAGGCTCACCTGAAGTCGCAAATTCGGCTGGATCGACAGGGGCGAAATCGAGGGGCTGCCGGAACTCCACTTCTTCACGGGTGAAAGGGAGCCCGATCATCTCTGACAATGAAACGCCGCACTTCGTTAGCGTTTCCTTGCAGTACGCGAGAACCTCAACGTTGACTGTGCAATCCTCTTGGTGGCGCACCTCGAGCACATCGATCGGACGCATTGTGCAACCATGCGAACGTGTCAGCTCGGCTACGCTGCCCATTGCGGGGCGCAAGATGGAAAGCATGTACAACATATGATGGGTTCCGCGCATAAACTGGACGGTCTTCGTGATATTGTCGTCACTGAAGCACATATGATACCTGTCCAGCAAATCGATGGTCTCGACGAAGGGTGTAGCATCAACATACACAAACATATTGTTGGGGTCGCCGATGATGTAATCCCGGACTTCCGTCATGAAACGGTCCCAAATCATAGAGAAGCCGTAGAGGTAGCTCTTCGCGCCGGTCATGACTCCAAGGCATGCGCAGCCCTTGCGGGCCGCGAAATCCCTGGTCCAAGCCAGGTGCCGTCTGGTGTCAGCGAGAAGTTGCTCGGCGTCTCCGATGGGGGTGTCGTAAGGATAAGTACCAGTGGGCTCGAGGCCGTCCTTCCCAACGAGCTCGTTGCCATTCCAGTAAATCATCGGAATGATGGTGGCTGCTGGGTAGTCGGTACGCACCTCGTCGATGAGGGCGGCCAACCGCTTGCACAGCTGTTGTAAGCCCTTGCCCCAAAGCATTTCAGACCTCCATGCACCGACACGCGCCGGGCGAGAGGCATCCAAACGCTCCGCAAAGTCGTACTTGCGAAGCTTGCGCTTCTTGCCCGAAACCATGGACAGTCCTGAATCGGCGACAGTCACATAGATGAGGAGGTCGCGGTCTGGTACACGTGGGGCCTGCAAAACTTTCAAGTACGGTTCGCTTATGGTTAACAGGGGTGTAAGCAATTGCAGGTAGTGCGGTTGGTCCTGCACCCATGTATGAATAAGCGACTGTGCAGAGGTCGTCTCGAGGAGGCCCTTGACCGTGGCGGCGAGGTTAGCGTCGTATTTGCCGTTCGTGCATACCGAAGTGGTAGCGACATTCTCCATCCATCTCCTCCATGCCAGATCGCAATCCCTCGCGGGATGCGCCATAGCCGTCGCGCTGCTCATTGCGAAGAAGATGCAGCACAATCACTCGAAAGCAACGGCTGCATGGTGGCATGTTCAGAAAATGCATTGTGAACGGCATCGGTGTAAACATACGTGTATCCCTCGGCTTCCTTCAAATGCGTACCACGGCTTTCATCATGCTCGTGAGAACCATCACACTTGAAGTACTCAACCACGGAAATAGTGGGCATATTACTGGCAACGATCCACTGCTTTTTCATAGGTTTTCCATTTCTCCCTTTAATGCCGATTTTGCAACCATGGAATTCGTACTTGTTCATCTTGTACTTAGTCAAGAAACTCCATAGTTCGGGCCATTTCCAATAACGACACGCCTTGGGAAGTTCGAAGGCAACTCTAACGTCATCAGAATAGACATCATTGAGAATGCGTTTGAACCCTCTCAGCAGTGATCGGAATTGCTTGATGTGACCCTCAATCTTGGCAGCACCTTTGGGAGTTTGCTGGTTGACATAACCCCACGGGCATCCTCCAGTGCAAGGCAATGAAACGTAGAACATTATTGCACCCTTAGGATTCCTGCTCCTAAATTCGGCAATTTCATGGACTAACCACTGCCTGCATGTATCAGAGCACCCGTCTTCGGTTTCAGTTACCCGAATGACACGACATTCCTTTGAAGAGTCTCTTGATTCGCCCAACCGTGAGGTCGTCGAACAACAGAACTCAATAAGGAGGCGCTTGGGCTGAGCGTTGCATAGCGCGGCGATCTGCCCCCCCTGATCACTAACTTCTCCGGCCTTGGCGCGCGGGGAAAGCAGCAAACTGGTGGCACAGGCTCGCGCCTGGCGATTTGGGGAGATACCGATCAGCTCGAGTGCGTGGTGCCACACTGGGGTGCTGTCAAACGCCTTGGTCAAGATGTCTGCAGCTTGGAGGGTAGTGTCAACATTGATTAACTCGAACTGCCTATTCACGAATTGCTCCTGGAGCCATCTGAAGCTAATGCGTTGGGTCCTATCCGTGTGCCTTAGCTTCTGTGAGTGTCCCTGCTGCAGGATAGTGATCGTGGCCTGATTGTCTTCCATCAGCTTATCTTTCCACTTATCACTGAGATGCACAGTTAGGGCATTGATGTTTGCTACACTTGTGCCCGCATCAACATTTCCGTACCGAATTTCATCCAACTCGGGGTCGATGCGAGCAACAATGCCATCGGGC